CTGAAAGTTCAAACTACGGTACATAAAGCCCTCATCAAAACATGCAAACATTTCTGACAAACAACTCAGCAAGGACAAACACAAGATGCGATCGATCACCTATTGACGCTGAAACCTAATTGAGCTTTTAAACATATAACTGCAATGTTGCTCTCCAAGTAGACCAAATCCACATTTATACATCCATCCACTCACTCACCCACTTAAAAGACTGAAGGTGACATTAAAGTGTACTCACACTTAATAGACAAAAGATGACATTGAAGTCAACCAACTCATCCACGCACTCACTAAATAAACTGCAGGTCACTAAATGAACTGAGGGTAACATAGAAGTCAACCAACCGACACCCTCACTCACTAAACACAATAGATCGGGTTTGTACTTCTACTCAACACAGTATAATCCAACTTCCTATGTCGCTACATATGTAAGATATGTTCCAGATACGTAAGCTGATGGACGATATTAAACTCAAGAAAGACGAAATAGCAAGTGAGTAGCAAACTACAAGATAATTTGTCAGTTGTGTATCACTGTTTAAAAAAAAATTGGAATAATGATTTTGCAAGTGCACCCTTTTTAAAGATTATTTTGGAATGTTGTGAAATAGTTGAAGTTAAACATTTACGTAATCACTAAAATGATTTGAAAACTGACAGCAGTACTTGTTTGTTTATACAGAGTTAGAGGAAAACGTTATACCGGAACTAAAGAAACAGGTAATTAATTTATTCTGACAAATATTTGTTAACATAAAAAGTAAAACATTAATTCTTATATCTTGCTATTTTGTGGGACTTATGTTTGTATTAAGACATAAGTATACAATATAGTGTTGCACGAAACAGTATCCAGGGAGGAATTGTTAATATTATGACATTGCTTTGTTGTTTATTAGGGGACTTCTTCCCGGTTAACTCCTGTATTAGTTTCCACGGGGGAATCAACACGTAATGATATGATAAGGTACATCTGTGATTGCACTGAGAGGTTGTGTCACATTTGCAGATTGAAGAAGCTGAAATAAGACTTGAAGTGCTCAAAGATACTATTGAAGGTAGGTTGAAAAACAAGTTGATACGATGAATGCTAAATGGTGCCAGGCCAAGTATAATCGGTCAGCAGTGATTAGTTATCCCAAAATTTCAAGGGATGTTCAGTGGCAGCTATTCTAGCAATGTTCATCATTGAACGGGATTATATAAAAAACCAACCAACCCAAACATTTAATGGATGTACTTAATGATTGCTCGTAGGAATGTGAGTAACCAGAAACAGGAAAGCAACTGTCAAAAAAAATCAAGGAATATTAGTACACACAATATTATTACTCATCCTAGATATCACCATGGTTACCACCTGCATCTTGGATGTCGATATTTTTGTCCATTCTTTTTTCACAAACTCATAGTCAACGACGATAAGGACCATACTCAAATATGAAGTGTATTGAAAAACTGTCTTTTCTCTTTCATTTCAATCTACAGATACATCAAATGCCATCCCGGCACTGGAAAAACAGGTACCTTACATCAACAGTTATATGTATGTATCGTGAAGTCACTCAAGAAGGCTACCTAAACATAGTGTGAGTGAGTGAGTTCAGTTTTACGCCGCACTCAGCAATATTCAAGGTATATGGCGGCGGTCTGTAAATAATCGAGTCTGGACCTGACAATCCAGTCATCAACAGCATGAGCATCGATCTGCGCAATTGGGAACCGATGACACGTGTCAACCAAGTCAGCGAGCATGACCACCCGATCCCGTTAGCCACATCTTACGACAAGCATGGGTTACTGAAGATCAATATTCTAACCTGGACCTTCACGGGTCCTAAACATAGTGTACCTTAACATAGCAGAAGATAGATAACAATACAATAGGGTTCATGTTGTTGTGTACTGACAATGACATATTCAATTAGAGATCTGAGGACACCTGTGATAACAGAGTCAGGGAACCTTTCAATACAACCAATCATTGTCGAGGGTTGTAACCTCCTCGGTGTGAGTGAGGGAAGAATAACCGGCAAGCATATGTGATATCTTATATTAATGTGACTGATCTTTCACTAGCATCTGACTAGTTTGACAATATAGAGTACTTTGTATGTTCCATACACGTATTCACAGGATCTACGATTCAGAGACAACTGACTTCAGGATATTTCATGTATTAATTGTAGGTGCGGGACCTGATACAGAATTTCACAAAATATGGCACTGATGTAAAAGGCAAGAATATTTTCAAGTTCTTCAAGTCAGTTACGCACCAATAATGTCACATGGAAACTACGGCTATGTAAATAGATGAATTAGATGGTAAAGACCCATGAAATATTTCTAGGTTGTTTCACGTACTATATACAAGGAAAATATTTTGTCTTTTGTTTTCTTTATTGGCTAATATCAAGGTATAACCATTTTTTCTGTTCTTATAGCTGAAAAGGAGAACATTGCGGAACTGTACAGCTTGGTAAGATTATTATACATGATTTCCTCAACATTTACTTTATGGTTAATATAGAACTTAAAGCACCACGTAGTGTTGGAGTCAGGTCTTGTTGCTCAGATGAATGCCGCATAATGTGCTAGCTCCCTCCAACTCTTTTATCAAATAACGCTAGACCAAATAGTTCATCCAAATACACTGCATAGTATTTAGGCGCAGGGGGTTTACAGATGATGTGTTCGTAGCCTGACTAATCGGCTTTATACCTCTTTTCACTATAAAAGACGATGCTCTTGTATTGAAAGTATCAAATAGGTTTTTACTTTGGCTTCAACCATTTGAATGGTGTTACTATTCTAACTGGTTTTTGAAAGTATTCAACCATTTTGTACTGATGATTAAATGCAAGGGATGTCCGAGCGCTGATAAAAGAACTTCAAAAAGAAAAAAACGGAAGAGATAGAGGGCTGAACAGATGGAATGCTTCTTGTGTCCCTGTGGTTAAGAGCAGTCTCAACTATATCAAATACATTTTGGGGGAATTTATAAACAGATCCCTTCCAGATTTGGCATGTTTCAGCCGCTATCGTAGAACTTTTGGCTGTACAATTTTTCGATGTATTATGGGGTTAGTGGCTGATCATTTTGAACATGTACTCCCGTTTTGGTAATAGTCTGTATTATTAGCAACTGTCATATTAACTCCGTTGAAGGCGAGTTCAGAATTATGAAGTCACAGTGAGGTTGCCTGAAGGCTGACCTCAGGTTAGAGCAGATCGTTCTCTCGAATGTATGTTGACTTTCGGCAGTAGATGGAGCAGATATAGCCCACTCAGATCGTACATTACACTATGTTTCAAGTTAACATTAAGAGGTATGATTTACAGGTTCACAGTTGGGAATTTACCTTTCAGGTTCTTCAGTTGGGAAAAAGTCCTTAAAGGTTTGTTCATTTCATTAGTCAAAGCTGCTTGTTTGTAACATCATGATTATTCGCCATAACTAACTGAGAAAAACAACCCCAAATAATAAGTTACTGGTAATGATGTAGCTGGCCGAACAGCTGGTTTATGTTGCACAGGTGATGAAAGCCCAATGCATATTCTTAGTCAGTGTATTCTTCGTTTTAACGGTTGTTAAATGGAGGAATATCGCATAGACACAGATTCCATTTGAATACAACCCCAAATCATGTCTTTTTCAGATCGGAAGAATGATCAGAAAGCACTCGCTGAAAAGGCACGTTTTCTTATATTGCATTTTGAAGAGGAATGAACGTGTAAATGTTTTGCCAGAGAGTGTCAAGCTTTACTCACTCACCCATTCATTGCGGTTGTTGACCAGTGCTGTCCCTATTAATGCCAGAGCTCTACTGTTACCTCTATGCTTTTCACAAGTATCATTTTCATTTCCTACTTTTACTATGGATGGTAATGTGGGTTTTTTGGGGGTTTTTTTTGTTTTGAATATCATGTTTCTAAAATCTGTGTTGTGACACCACTAAATCGCCATTTTTCGAGACATACTTAATACACAAATGCAATGGCCATGGTACTGTTTATACTAAACATACTTGCACGAGTGCAGTGTCACTGTAAAGAATCACAAAGGCTCATTGATACCTTGATTTCTGTGTTGAAGTGAAGATATCAATGGTGTTGGCTGAAGTTTCACAATGTTCTGTTGTATCAACTTCAAAGCGACGGGATGAATGGAAGGTGATTGTATGAGCTTTTGATGAGAGGTGAGGTGAAATTGGGTTTAACGTCGTGCTTGAGAATATTTCGCTCATATGACAACGTGCATGGGTGTATGGGTATGTGCGGCTGCTTGTACCAGCCCAGACTTCAGCTGGTTTAATAGTGCTAGCCCACTGAGATACCATGCCGTAGTGAAGCATGAATACCCCACTCAGACACATTATGCTAACTCCGAGCCGACCAGTCCTTGTTGTACCCATTAATGCCGAGCGCCAGGCAGGGACCTACAAGTACCATATTTTAAAGGGCCACTGATGCAGAGCGATTAATGTTTCCAGCCAACAGTCTAATTACGAAACCTAGCTGCAAACTGGTCAGCCCCTGCTCCCTTGACCGTGGCAGACACGGGGACTCGACTACTGTCCACCTTTGCAGATTTCCTTCAACCTAACCAGAAGGGACATTAGCTCTAACCACTACAACGGGGAGGCGGTCTTTTTGATAAGAGAGTTTTGATAACACTCCCATCTGACTCGTTCTCCTCGACACTCGCTCTCACAGGAAACACCAAGTTTCACCTTCACAGGGATATATTCCAAACATAACACAAACACTGAACACGCCTTTAATCAGTATGTTTTCTAGTCACCTGAGAACAAGCTTCAAGCAATACGTATACGTTTGTGCAGCACCTCCATAATCAGCATCCGTACAGACAGTGTTACTGGTTACAGCATTACACAAAAAAAACACAATCCGTATGCAAATGTATCATTTTTTAACGATAGACTCCCTGTTGATGAATGACATGAGCTCAAGTTTATATGCTAATGTCGTTACAGATGCAGAGAATAGAAGACGAACAAGCAAGACAAAAACGCCAATGTGAAGGTATAAATAATGCAATGAAAACACAAAGAGTTATATCAGGACAATATACAGGTGTGAGTAGAATGTTTTGTGGTTATCTACTTGATTTAAATGCCTTCAACCATCAAGATTATTCTCAATGACATGAGCGTTTATGCAACTGGTGCAACTCTGTCAAGAAGTTTGTCTTGAATGAGACCCTGGGATGATAATACTCTCTCATTATCTTCAGATGAACGGAGAGAAAAGAAGAATTACAAAGCCAGGCAAGTGTTATTCCCTCTCTTTATATATTGTCCTTTCGTTCATACAGACAGTTGCAGTGGATGCACCGTCGTCAGATTAAGGAGGTGTCAATTAGTGGATATCGTTTGGAAGAATTTGTTTCGCTGACATTATCTGTGAAAGCATAATCCTGCCGCTTCGAGTATTTTCTCGTAATTTCAATATTTTTCTCGTTTATTTTATAGTCCATTTCATACATTTATACATATACAAGGCAGACATAAAGTGTGGAAACTATACATTTCAATAATCAATAATTTCAGTCACGTTATGCAGGTCTTGGATAAGTGTAATGGATACGTAAATGTTTTAACAGATCAGTTCATTTATACTATAAATAATTCACAATGACACTATATATAATTAAACTGATTGCTGACAACACAGTGATTGATCATTTTAAGAGCACGTCAAAAGAAGGCAGTTGTTTCCAATGTTTCTCAAAGTAGCTATTTCTGTTATTTTTTCTTGCTATTTTACAAATGTCAATTTTACAAATGTCCTTTATTGTTGAAATCAATCTGTTAGTTTAAACTGTTTAACTTGAGATGTAGATAATTATTTTGGCTATGAGTAAGATATGATTAACTATGTGAGTGTTTGAAGCCTAACTCAAACATTTTACAGTATTTTGCTACTTTCAGATTATTGTGGAAATAGTTATTAATGAAATTCTTTACCTTCTGTCTGAAGCAGAAAACAGTCTGACATTCACAAAAAGACATATTTTCAGAATCAAGTTTACAACAAAAGCATAGATCATCATCAACTAACTTCATTTTCAATAACCCCATTTTAGTGTATATTACTCTGTAAATGACTGACTGACTGACTGAGTTTAGTTTTACGCCGCTTTTAGCAATATTCCAGCAATATCACGGCGGGGGACACCATAAATGGGCTTAACACAATGTGCCCATGTGGGGAATCGAACCCGGGCCTTCGGCGTGACGAGCCAACGCTTTAACCACTAGGCTACCCCCACCGCCCCCCTCTGTAAATGAATCTATACTGAAAGTCTAATAGCTTGCAATCATTTGTACATTTCCTGTAACAAACAAAGGCTTCCTTCTAGTTGATATTATGGTCAAAAGTTCCAGTGTTCTAATTTCTTGCGAATGTTATCATTCTTACTTTATTTATCATAAAAGAGATCATATCGAGATTAATACTGTTGATATTCAGCTACAAGAGAGGCAGAATTTGGCTTTAGTAATAATCCCAACATCATCAATGAGCAGATGAACTTACACGACTTTAATTCTTGATTACAGATACAAAAACTACGTAAGGTGATCGAGGAAAAGGACGCTAACCAAATCAAACTGGAACAACAACTTAAAGGTATTTTTATACGTACAAACTCCATGTTATAAGCGAGGCAGTACATATTTCCAGATACTCCTCTGTATACTCAACCAGACAGGTAAATACTCCTCTGTATGCTCAACATGACAGGTAAATACTCCTCTGTATACTCAACATGTCAGGTAAATACACCTCTGTATACTCAACATGACAGGTAAATACTCATACTCTGTATACTCAACATGTCAGGTAAATACTCCTCTGTATACTCAACATGTCAGGTAAATACTCCTCTGTATACTCAACATGACAGGTAAATACTCCTCTGTATACTCAACATGACAGGTAAATACTCCTCTGTATACTCAACATGACAGGTAAATACTCCTCTGTATACTCAACATGACAGGTAAATACTCCTCTGTATACTCAACATGACAGGTGAATACTCCTCTGTATACTCAACATGACAGGTAAATACTCCTCTGTATACTCAACATGACAGGTAAATACTCCTCTGTATACTCAACATGTCAGGTAAATACTCCTCTGTATACTCAACATGTCAGGTAAATACTCCTCTGTATACTCAACATGTCAGGTAAATACTCCTCTGTATACTCAACATGTCAGGTAAATACTCCTCTGTATACTCAACATGACAGGTAAATACTCCTCTGTATACTCAACATGACAGGTTAATACTCCTCTGTATACTCAACATGACAGGTGAATACTCCTCTGTATACTCAACATGTCAGGTAAATATTCCTCTGTATACTCAACATGACAGGTAAATACTCCTCTGTATACTCAACATGACAGGTTAATACTCCTCTGTATACTCAACATGTCAGGTAAATACTCCTCTGTATACTCAACATGACAGGTAAATACTCCTCTGTATACTCAACATGACAGGTGAATACTCCTCTGTATACTCAACATGACAGGTTAATACTCCTCTGTATACTCAACATGTCAGGTAAATACTCCTCTGTATACTCAACATGTCAGGTAAATATTCCTCTGTATACTCAACATGACAGGTTAATACTCCTCTGTATAGTCAACATGGCAGGTAAATACTCTCTGTATCTGTACACTCAACATGACTCCTCTGTAAATCAACATCCTCTGTATACTCAACATGTCAGGTAAATACCTCTCCTCTGTATACTCAACATGTCAGGTAAATACTCCTCTGTATACTCAACATGTCAGGTAAATACTCCTCTGTATACTCAACATGTCAGGTAAATACACCTCTGTACACTCAACATGTCAGGTAAATACACCTCTGTATACTCAACATGTCAGGTAAATACTCCTCTGTATACTCAACATGTCAGGTAAATACTCCTCTGTATACTCAACATGACAGGTAAATACTCCTCTGTATACTCAACATGTCAGGTAAATACTCCTCTGTATACTCAACATGACAGGTAAATACTCCTCTGTATACTCAACATGACAGGTAAATACTCCTCTGTATACTCAACATGTCAGGTAAATACTCCTCTGTATACTCAACATGTCAGGTAAATACTCCTCTGTATACTCAACACAGGTCAACATGTATACTCAACATGGTAAATACTCCTCTGTATACTCAACATGTCAGGTAAATACTCCTCTGTATACTCAACATGTCAGGTAAATACTCCTCTGTATACTCAACATGTCAGGTAAATACTCCTCTGTATACTCAACATGACAGGTAAATACTCCTCTGTATACTCAACATGACAGGTTAATACTCCTCTGTATACTCAACATGACAGGTAAATACTCCTCTGTATACTCAACATGTCAGGTAAATACTCCTCTGTATACTCAACATGTCAGGTAAATACTCCTCTGTATACTCAACATGTCAGGTAAATACACCTCTGTATACTCAACATGTCAGGTAAATACTCCTCTGTATACTCAACATGTCAGGTAAATACTCCTCTGTATACTCAACATGACAGGTAAATACTCCTCTGTATACTCAACATGACAGGTAAAACTCCTGTATACTCAACATGTCAGGTAAATACTCCTCTGTATACTCAACATGTCAGGTAAATACTCCTCTGTATACTCAACATGTCAGGTAAATACTCCTCTGTATACTCAACATGTCAGGTAAATACTCCTCTGTATACTCAACATGACAGGTAAATACTCCTCTGTATACTCAACATGTCAGGTAAATACTCCTCTGTATACTCAACATGTCAGGTAAATACTCCTCTGTATACTCAACATGTCAGGTAAATACTCCTCTGTATACTCAACATGTCAGGTAAATACACCTCTGTATACTCAACATGACAGGTAAATACTCCTCTGTATACTCAACATGTCAGGTAAATACTCCTCTGTATACTCTCAACATGTCAGGTAAATACTCCTCTGTATACTCAACATGTCAGGTAAATACTCCTCTGTATACTCAACATGTCAGGTAAATACTCCTCTGTATACTCAACATGACAGGTAAATACACCTCTGTATACTCAACATGACAGGTAAATACTCCTCTGTATACTCAACATGTCAGGTAAACTCCTCCTCTGTATACTCAACATGTCAGGTAAATGCTCCTCTGTATACTCAACATGTCAGGTAAATACTCCTCTGTATACTCAACATGTCAGGTAAATACACCTCTGTATACTCAACATGTCAGGTAAATACTCCTCTGTATACTCAACATGTCAGGTAAATACACCTCTGTATACTCAACATGTCAGGTAAATACTCCTCTGTATACTCAACATGTCAGGTAAATACACCTCTGTATACTCAACATGACAGGTAAATACACCTCTGTATACTCAACATGTCAGGTAAATACTCCTCTGTATACTCAACATGACAGGTAAATACTCCTCTGTATACTCAACATGTCAGGTAAATACACCTCTGTATACTCAACATGTCAGGTAAATACTCCTCTGTATACTCAACATGTCAGGTAAATACTCCTCTGTATACTCAACATGTCAGGTAAATACTCCTCTGTATACTCAACATGTCAGGTAAATACTCCTCTGTATACTCAACATGTCAGGTAAATACTCCTCTGTATACTCAACATGTCAGGTAAATAATCCTCTGTATACTCAACATGTCAGGTAAATACTCCTCTGTATACTCAACATGACAGGTAAATACTCCTCTGTATACTCAACATGACAGGTAAATACACCTCTGTATACTCAACATGACAGGTAAATACACCTCTGTATACTCAACATGACAGGTAAATACACCTCTGTATACTCAACATGTCAGGTAAATACTCCTCTGTATACTCAACATGTCAGGTAAATACTCCTCTGTATACTCAACATGTCAGGTAAATACTCCTCTGTATACTCAACATGTCAGGTAAATACTCCTCTGTATACTCAACATGTCAGGTAAATACA